CTCGTAGCCCCTTCGCCCGAACCGTTTGTTGACAATAGAAAATGAAGGAGATTTCTGAGCAAGTGTTTCTATAATCGTCTTTATAATGGTAAGAATGAAGTTCATTATCTCTGAGCCAACACAGAGTGATTCCTCTTCCCCGTATGAACACCTAGTTTCATTTTTTGTGAAGGGTTATCGGATAGAAGAAAAGATTTAGGCAAGTTTTTATTCGGGGCTTGAGAACTTGGTGCACGAAAAAGACTCCATCACAATTAGCGTTTATTTACTTGTTATCGTTATTTATCATTAATAGTAACAAATTCGGAGAGCTACACGCGTCTCGGTATCGATAAGTGAGAGAAATGAGAGAGAGGTGTGGTGAAATACGTCGAAATCCCCCCCGCACCAGTGAAGGGCAGAGAACCTCAAGCAAAATGGCAGCCGAGGGGAAGGGGCTGCGGGTCGAAGGTCGGCGGAGGCTGCGTCGTCTTCTCGTGTGTTTTGCGCTGTTCTTTCGTATTCTCCCACGTTTTTACAGAGTGTACCACTGTTCACTTTGGCTACATTTCATTTTATTCCTCCTTCCACTTCAGTTCACAATATTTGGTGTAGAACTGAGGATTTTTATTACATCTCATTATATTTCAATTTCTACTAAGCTTCACCTTGTTCCACCCTCTGGAGCTTATCATTTTTGGTAAAACTTGTAGATTTCTTAGCCATTGCTTGCCATCAGATCCCTGTTTGAGCTAGAACTAAAATCATTTACACTTTATGCACCATATCATTATATCCAAGTATCTCTGTCTGACATGTTTTACTTTTTGTTCTGATTTGTTGTTATTAGTACTAAAAATATGCAACTGCTAGAACTAGTGTGTTTATTGTTTCATAAATGTGAAGTGATTGAAATGGAATAAACGACATATCAGTGGTTTATTTTCAGTCTTATTTATATGTAGATAAAATGATAGGTCTTATGATGTTAATGTTCACTATTAAGAGCCTATAAAGTACACTGAGCATTGCAGTAATAGTAAGAATTGCACAAAAGGAACATACTAATGAAATGGCAAGACCTAGTAACCTGTGTCTGTAGTTCAGATCTCCTTTTTGAGTCTCCCATATAATGCTATATTGATCTCTTAGGAGAAAGGTAAGCCATTCCTCTTTATCATTATTTTGTGACAAAGACAAGAATGATACTCATATGGTTTTTAACCCTTTGGCACTGGGTACATGCACTATTTCTTTCTTTTCTTTTCTTGTAGTTTGTTTATTCAAGTATTTATTTGGCAAGTTAATTACTAGGCTTACTCAACCTTATAAGTTCACCGAGTTTCTTGAAATTTTAGGAGAAAAGATTTAATTCCTTATGCAATTGATATTATTGATGTTGTTATTTTTTATTACTACCGCTATTCTTATTTACTTATATAACTATAATGTCATCAACATAGATGACAGTAATGATAAAATATACAAAATTCAAAGAATGGAGTAAATACAGTGAGATCAGTGAGGTTAACAATTGCCTTCATAACTACACACTTCAGAGCTATAAATGTGTAAAGAAAATTTGTAAACTAATCATATTGAGCAGATCATTTAGCCTGTACTTCTTGGTGTCATGGGATTGATATATCCTAGGCAGTCCATAGGAAGTTATGCATTCCTAAATTTTTTATATATGTCATTCCTATAGCCCTATGAGGTCACAAGAATTCATATTAGTTCCCAAGATTTCTTCATGTATAATGGATGCAAACAATTCTCTAAAATCCAGTGAATTTATATATATTGCTCATACCAGTTGAACCAGTGCAAATAGGTAGTTTGAGATGAACACTATCATAAATGAAATGGATAGGTAAAGGAAGTGTAAACGGTCTCTTTTCTATTAAGTAATTTGTGCAGTTTATAAATAATAATGTGTGATTTATAGAAGAGATAAAAAAACAGTTAAAAATATGACAATATTTTTAATGTGTTATCAAGACGATTATATGCATTGTTTATAGATCCTTTGTGTGTATGTCATACCAGAACACTTATAGTGAAGGTCAGTTGTCTTTGGCAGAGCGCCAAACGCATGCATCCCCTAGAAACCTAAAATTTTGCCAATAGTTGCAAGAAGATCGTTTTATCTTTAACTTTCGTTATTATTTGCAAGTACTGGTCTTTGTTTATGATAAGTTCCTGTTATTGTATAAAGATCACCAAGCATTATTGTTAGTCATTTGTTTTGGAATATCAAGACTTTTAGATGAGATGATGATGACTCAAGGTAAAGACAGATTGGTAATTCTTTACATTGTTCAATTCCACATGATCTTTTTCCTTTAATTTTGGTAGTACTGTTTGTGTCTGCAGGTTATTTGTTGTACCAACAACTACAGCTTTTTGTCCTCTACAAAAATAACACCTTGAGTTTGCCCTGGCTTAGTGTATCCATACTGTAAAGATTAACTGACACATCTTTGACACCTGTTTGGTGATGATGTAATAGTGAAACATG